ACAAATGGCTTTGGGTCCGAGTATTTTCCTCCCATGCAGGTGCTCTGACAATTCTTTAACTTATATTTTTATAAATTATTCATGTATTGGTTGAATTAAAATAAAAATAATTTTCTTTTATCATTTAATTCACTTGTCTGTAAAAATAAATTCCAAGTCATGTGCCCACTAATTTATCATTGGTCGAAATTATGCATGAGAAACAATTAATTACGATCTAAATCAATAAAAATTTTTTTTTTAAAAATTCATTTCTAAAAAAAAATTTTTTTTTAATAATGGCAACGATTGAAGAAGTTAGAAAACAGTTAGACATTGCACTAGAAGAGCACAGGAAGGCAGTGGAGAAGTTGGAGAGGTTGGAAAAGTTAAGAGGAGGTGAAGAAGAAGAAAAGTACATTGGTGAACAAGAAAATTTAGAAAGAAAAGAAGAGGAATTAGAGAAGAAGGAGAAAGATTGGGGAGAGCAAGTGCGATACTTGCAAAAAAAATTGGCTGACTTTGAAGGAGGGGAAGGTAATGAACAAATTGCATAAAAAAAAATATTTTTCATTCATTCCGTTTCATTTATTTATTTATTTGGTATACTGTTTACAATTTTAACTGACTTGCTTTTTTCTTCTGGCCTATCTTTTTTTCTCTAAAGGTATTTCAGGTGAGTCCAAATATTTCATTCTGTCTATTTATTGGAAACTAAGTCAAAATCTCCATTGATACAATGCAGTATCAAAAATTAATCAGCATTCATGTCTTCCTATTATGTATTTAGACCCCACAAATAAAATCATGAAATATTGGTTACAAACCCCAGATGAAATCCCTGAACGTCATCAACTTACATATTTTCTTAATAAGATACCAAATGTGAAAATCCCTCTTTCCAAGGAAAATTTCTCTTCAATTCCAGTCATTGGACCATTTAGTATAGACCCAACAGAACGTGATAAATATTTTGTAGAGAGCAAATCAGAAAGTTGTACTGCATTTTTTACTGGATTAATATCAAGCTTAATTGACACTCCTCCAACAGGAAAAACAGAAGATTCATTTCACTCCTTTTGGGATGCTATTATTAGCAAGTCACTACAAGTATTTGGAAAATATTCTAATGAAATGCCAGCAATGGATTTTGATCGTAATACCTCTAGAAACACAACAACAGGTAGACTTATTTAAATAATTGACTGAAAAGTAGAATTATATCATGTACTAATGAAAAGTTTTATAGGTCTAAATCGACCAGATTTTGTCTTATTAATGAGAAACATTTGTGTTATTCGTGGAGAAGAGAAAGGAGAAGGTGGAAGAGGAGAACCTGCTAGGGAATTAATTGATAAATTCAATACTTGGGATTATGGAGACACTCCATATCTCTTTGGATACTATGCCAATACCACTGCTGTTACCTTTTGTGTTCTTTATATTAATGAAAAAGAACCTATTAATATCAATAGTCAAAAGAGAAAATGCCCAGACATTTGTAGTGAGAGACTTGCAGAATTTGATTTAAACAAATTAACACATAGATTCAAGTTAATGAATTTAATTAGAAATATTTGTAAGTCCTTTCATGTTTTGATTTTTGAACTTTATAAGGAATGCTAATTTACTTTATAAAACTTAGGTCGCATACTACCTATGATAATTAACATGTGTCCTTCAAAAGAATTGCCAGATTTTGAAACCATAATACGTGATAATGGAACTAATATTGAAATTGGCTATGATATTAAAAAAACATTTCCCTCAGAAGCTAAA